CTTAGGAGGAAGACGAAGAGTTTGAGTCCAACCTGGGCTACATGCTGACAACATGTCTGTCTCCGTGGATAAAAACAAAAGAGTGAACAAGTCCTACAAAGAGTAAAAGAAAGATAAATTCATTTACCTAAAGGTAGAAAGGCTAGTTTGGCTTTGACGACTGAGCGAATGGTAGAGATGATGGTGGTGGCGCAGTCTTCAGGATGGGCTCGCACAGAGGGCCAGTGTGATGGCCAGTCTTACCTGTCACCTGGGAAGAGGACCTCAATGAAACACCATCTAGATAAAGCTGTTCTGTGGGCTTGTCTGTGGCTGTCATGACCGCCTCAATTGAGCTGGGAAGACCTAACCCACTGTGGGCAATACCATTCCTCAGGGTTACATCCTGAACTGTTAAAGGGTAGAGAAATTGGGGCTGTAAAGATAGCTCAGTGGTTAAGAACATTGTGGCTTTTTATAGAGGACCAGGGCTCAGTTCCCATCATCCATGTAGTGGATCACAGCTGCCTGTAGTTCCAGTTCTTCTTCCAGGCTCTTTTCCAGCCTACAAGGACACACCAGGAGCATTGGTGCACATAAATTCATGAAGGCATGTATTTAAAAAAATACAGATGATAAAAAGATAGATGATAGAAGATCTTTAAATGAAAAGTAGAGAAATGGCACCGAGTAGAACCAGCGTTTATAGCCACTCCTCTCTGCTCTTCACTGTGGATATAACTGAGGATTCAAGTTCCAGCCACTGCAATGTCAACGTCCCGTGATGATGGACATAACCTAGAATTGTGAGCAGAATAAATCCCTTTCTCCAGTAAGGTGGGGTTCTGTTTGTTTTGGTTTCAGTCAGGTTATTTTAGAAATGAAACAAGGATAGCTAGGATAACACAGTTTTTGCTCTCCCCTTCCCTTGTGTTTTTTGAGACAGGGTTTCTCCGTGTAGACCTGTCTGTCATGGAACTTATTATGTAGACCAGGCTGGACTCAAACTCAGTGATCTGCTTACCTCTGCCTCCCAAATGCTGGAATTAAAGGTGTGTGCCCCAACCACCCCTACATGCAGTTTTTTTCTAAGTGTCAAAGCTAGGCTTGTACTCTAAAAATGTCACTTTCTGCCTCAAGTCAATCAACTGACGTGGCTAAGAGATTGCAACAAGCCAGAGGACTCGTCTAAGGACTCAGAGCGTGACGATGGGAGAAGTGAGGACAGAGAAAAGAGAACAGATCTTGGAAATAGTGTAGGTGCTTGATGAGCCCTAGTAACTGATTGCACTTGAGGAACTACGGGAAAGAGATCAAGGACACCTTTAGGTTTGAGCAACCACAGTTGCAGATGAATATTGTAGATCACACAGAGGCAAGGGCAGAGGCGCAAAGGTCAGCTAGGGTACTGGGGAACAACTGGGTTTTGTGTTTTTATGGGAAGGAGAAGGATTTTGCTGTTAAAAGAAGCATCCTTTTTAGGTATGTTAGCAACTGGATGTTCATTTGGCCTTGGAGTAGTCCAAGCCCCGCCAAGACCTTGAATGAAAGGGAAACGCTTGGGCTGAAGACAGAAATCTGAAAGTTATTTATAGATGGATGGGCCACAAAAAAGTATTAACTGGATGAAGTAAGTCTCATCTAAGAAAGACTGCATAGAAAGGGAAAGGCAGAGGAGAGGGTGAGGAAGAAAATCCAATGTAAAAGGAAAATCAAAGAGGCTGCTACCACAAGAGCCCAGAGCAGTGTTTCAGGAAGGACAGGTACAGCTAGGAATATTTGGTCTAGCTTGCCTGAGGCCCTAGGTTCAAACCCCAGCTTTGCGGGGAGGGATTGATATACTACATCACAAACTATTTAAAGACTGAACCATTAGATTTGACCAAATATGGGCCTTGAAAACTACCATTTTTATTTAATCCCCAAGGATAAAAACCCATTTCTGGGATCTGAAGGAGCAATGAAGAGGAACAGGCCACAAATATGAATCTACCTTGCCACCTGTGGGGGAGTTTTTACAGAAAAAAACATGGGTGATAGCAGAAGGGAGAAGGAGAGTTAAGCAAAGAGTTTTAGAATTGGGGATTAGACTGCCAGAAAAATGGTTCAGTGGGTAAAGGTTTGCCACCACGTCTGATGACCTGAGTTTGATCTCTGGGACCTCTGTGGTGAAACAAGAGGACCAACTTCCCAAAGTTGTCCTCTGATCTCCACATGTAAGATGAGGACACACATGTACACACAAGCACACACACACACACACACACACACACACACACACACACACACACACGGACTTAGTAGTACAGCATATGTTTAGCATTTGGAAACTCTGGACTCAGCCCCCAGCTTCTCTCCACACAAACTGGGTAAGATTCCAATGGGAGTGACTAGAAAGAAAATGAGTGGTCATGATCCTGGTACTTAGGAGACAGGAGCAGAGGGATCCCAAGGCCAATACCAGCCTAGGCCATATAGTTCAAGTCCTTGGCTGTAATTCTTAGGACAAGAGCAAAAGATGGCAAAACTATGTAAAATAAACACTTCTGAAAAGAATTTTTATTTTTTGTGTTTGAATGTTTGCCTGTATGTATACATGTACATATATAACTTGTGCTTGCCTGGTGCCCAGAGAGGAGGCTGCTGGATCTCCTGGAACTGGAGTCACAGATGAATATGAGCCAGCATGTGTACCTGGGAAGCAGGCTCTGTCCTCTGGAAGAGCAACAACTCCTGGTAACAATTGAGCCATCACTCTCATTTTTCTTTAAAGTGGGAAAGAATGGTCATTGAAAGAAAGAGACTAGCCAGGTGGTGACGCATGCCTTTAATCCCAGCACTCAGGAGGCAGAGGGAGATGGATTTCTGTGAGTTCGAGGCCAGCCTGGTCTACAGTGTGAGTTCCAGGACAGGCTCCAAAGCTACAAAGAAACCCCGTCTCGAAAAACCAAAATGAAAAAAAAAGAAAGACTAGTTTAAGAATGTTGAGAAATAACTTCTGGACATAATCAATTTGTGAAATATAAGCAAAAACTAACTGTCTTAGTTAAAAGTACAAGTGACTTGAGCAATATAATATAATATAATATAATATTGGCCCTTAAGAAAAATGATACATTTTACAAAGAAACAATGCAACTCATTGACACTAGCTAAGTTATCCTGTGTTAAATTAACAATGTTTTACCTTGCCAAGATTCTTGGCACTTTCGTTAACTTAAATTAAGTTGGGAAAAACATAATAGTAATTGAAAAAGCAACTAATTATAAGTAATTATAAGTCAAATTATATTTATACCACAATTAGTGTTTGAGGTGGTTTAGTAGGCAGTCTTTACTTCAATAAGCAACCATCAAATAATTGAACAGCTTGTAAAACACAGAAATATTCCTTTAATCTTTATTCCAAGTATAACCACATCCCTCCTTGAATAACTATTATAATAAATAAGGAACATTATATTTTGTCCTAATTCCCACTTTGAGTTAGATGTTTTAAAAACCATGGCAAAAGTCTATGCACCTACCTCATCTCATGGAGACGAGTGACTCCATGCCCTTGTAAGAGAAGAGCTAGCCTTCAGGGTAGCAGAAAGCAAATTTCAACAGTGTGTTTTCTTTAATGACAATGGGGAAAGGTCACTTTGTCATTGACAATGATAGTTTTTAATTTTACAAGATTGGGGACTTCCCCCCAACCCCAGTATTCCCAAGTAACTAATAACTTTGTCACCATCTCTTACTACTTAAGATAAATAACTGGGCTGGAGAGATGGCTCAGTGGTTAAGAGCACTGTCTGCTCTTCCAGAGGTCCTGAGTTCAATTCCCAGCAACCACATGGTGGCTCCAAACCATCTGCAAAGAGATCTGGCGCCCTCCTCTGGTGTGTGGGTATAAATGGAGGCAGAAAGTTGTATACATAATAAATAAATCTTTTAAAAAAAAGATAAATAACTAATTCAACACTTGACCCCTAATTTATGCTTTAGTTTATCATAAGTGAAAAGTCTCGGTACCTGTTTATACTATTATTATATATCTTTGAAAATCCTTCTTAGGTATTTGAGACAGCACTGTAAATTTGCAGGGTGGTGGTGGTTGAGAGAAATACTTTCAATTAGTTCATCCCTTTAAGAACAGCCAAAGACAAAAATTGCCAAACAATCTCGTGTTATGCTTAATAAATCTAGTTCCTGGAAAGTTGTGCAAACTAAATCTCCACCCGTTGACCTATGGGATCACGGGGTAATAAAGGTGGCTGCTACACCCCGCCAACTCCCAAGCTAGGCGAGGCACACGGTGGGAGGTAGATAGCGCCGGAGCCCTCCAAAGCTGGGAGCTCCATTGCTCCTCTCTTTTGAAATAGGAAGACAACGCTTCTGGCTATTGTGTAAACCCGTCGAGAGCGGCATTCATTCCCACATCAGATAAAGCACGAGCAGAATTAAAACGCATTCCAGTCCGACCCCGGGCAACGCGTACGTCACTGACAACGTTGAGTTTTATAGCCTTGGCAGCGTTCGTCTCGAGGAAGCACATGAAAGAATGGTTTTTTCAAAAAAAAAAAAATATATCAAACAAACAAAACCCCAAAACCCTGGGCTGAAGCGGGGAATTCATAGGATCAAAGCCACCACGCCGACCGAGCAGTGGTCACCGCCCCCGCCGAGCCCCGCAGACGCCCCTCAAGGCTCCCTCGTTTTCCTCGACTAACCAGCTGTCTGCAGCGGGGGACAACCTTGTCTAGCTCCCGCTCTCCCCAACAGCTCCACAAGCAACCCCAGCTTCCCAAGTCCCCAGCCGGACAACAGTGCGATCTCCCGCTCAAGGAACAGCGGCCGCTCCATCTGCAACCAAGCTGGTAGTCGCCTGCACTCCCAGTAGGCCCGCCGCCAGCCAGCTGGCGCTCGGCGACGCTTGACTGACACGCCGCTGCCCCTATGAGGCCCCGAGGGCGGGGCCATTGCGTCACTTCCTGGCCTGTCGGGGAGGAGGCCTTATATAAGGTCTGCGCTCACGCAGCGCCCTCGCTTACACAGTATGGCCGGCGACATTAGCTAGCGCTCGCTCAACTCTCTCTAACGGGAAAGCAGCGGACTACAAGAGACTGAACTGTATCTGCCTCTATTTCCAACAGACTCACGTTCAACTTTCGCTCACAAAAATAGCCGGGAAAATTTTATTAGTCCTTTTTTTAAAAAAAGTTAATATAAAATTATAGCAAAAAAAAAAAAGGAACCTGAACTTTAGTAACACAGCTGGAACAATCCGCAGCGGCGGCGGGAGCGGCGGGAGAAGAGATTTAATTTAGTTGATTTTCTGTGGTTGTTGGTTGTTCGCTAGTCTCACGGTGATGGAAGCTGCACATTTTTTCGAAGGGACCGAGAAACTGCTGGAGGTCTGGTTCTCCAGGCAGCAGTCCGACGCCAGCCAGGGATCTGGGGATCTTCGCACCATCCCAAGGTGGGTGCGGGGGATCTGGGGGGTGCGGCGAGGATCGAGGCTCGGCCTCAGGTGGGGCCAGGTCGGCGGGCGGGAACTGACTTCTCCGGCCGCCGTTGCGGGGCCGCCTGGGGGAGGGGAGGAGGCCGGCGCGGCCGCGTGCTCAGGTAACGAGGCCGGGGCGGGGGGCGCGCGGTCCCCCGGCAGGTGTGGTTCGGCTCGGCGTGCCGGCGCGGGTGAGGGCCGGGCGGAGCACGAGCTGGGCGGGCCTGGGCCGCGGGGCTGCGAGCAGGCCTCCCGCCGCGGGCTAGGCGGCCGCGCGTGGCGGCGGGATTGGGCGGGAGCGGCCGTGTCGCAGTGCTGGGCCCGCCGCCGCCCCGACGTGCCCTGCTGCAAAGCGCTCCGGGACCGTCCGGGGCTTTGCCCCCGCGTCTCCTGACCTTGGGTTGTGTAACCTGTTACTGAGGGGAGGTCCGGGCGAGCGCGGCGCGGCGACGGAGGGCTATCGCGGGGTGGAGGCCGGCCAGCCCCGGGACCTATTTAATGCCTTCAGCGGGAGCAAAGGGACCTGGGGCCCCGCTCGCACCCGGGCAGTCACACGCGACCACAGGCTGTCGCGCGCAGAGCGGTTGGTGGTCTCCCTGTGGAGAATGGAATCACGCGTAGAAGTGCGGCTGATGGTGACAATGTATGGACCCGGCGGTGGCTCCAGCTGCCGGCTTTGGGGGCCGCGACGTGGGCTTCGCCGTGTTCCTCGGGGAGCCGCTGCCACTGGGGTGGCGGAGGAACCGGCGTGGTCCGGTTCATTGAGAGGCGGACCAATGAGCTCCTGGGCCCTCCGGGAGCCTGGCTCCAGGGTGTGGACCAATGGGCGTTTTAGGAATGTTGGCTGCGCGTTGCAACCGTCTTCTGACAAAAAGCGAGAAGAGAATCCAGGCGGCCACGTGCTGCCGAGACTTTAAGGCACACTGGGAAACGCAGTTCCTACTAGTTGCTGCGGAGGTTTCCATTGTAGGGGGAAATGGAGCTGCAGCGTTTATGGTTTTAGTTTTCATGTCTCGTTTGCCATATGTGCCGTTTTCAGTTGTTAACACCTCACCGTTAATCTCATAATAATCACGGAGAAGCTTGTTGCTCTCACAGATGGAAAACTGGTGATTGTGATGGGCGTCTCCTAGAAAATCTTGGTACGAACCGAATGACGGGATTCTCTAGGAAACTACAAAAACATTAAGATGCCTGAAATCTGTCACACCTTTAATAAAGGGAAGATGTTTTCCCCAACCTCATAGTCTAAGGGGCTCTAGACCTGGCTCAGCAGATAAGAGCACTTGGATGCTCTTCCAGAGGACCGACCCGGATTCAATTCCCAGCATCCACATAGCTGCGTGCAACCATCTGTAACTCTGGTTCCGGGGGGTTCTGACATCCCTCTTCTGGCTTCTGTGGGCATTGCACACGTGGAGCACAGGCACATGTAGGCAAATAAACTGTGTGTGTATGTGTCTTGGGTTGAGGATGTTCGAAAACCACACTTTGTGTGTAACCAAACAACTGAAATTTTTACTGTTTCAGTGAGATTTTTACATGCTTCGTAAACATTTAACACATTATAGTCTTAAGCACTCTTCTGCAGCTAGCTTTATGCAAGTAGTCGCTGAAAACTGTTCGAAAGAACTGAAAGAAGTTCACTATTTTTCAGTGGCCGATCAAAATATAGAAGTCGCGCATTGGTTATTTACTATGAGGGTTTAAAGGTGTCGGAAAGCAGTAGGTGTTAGATAAATCTACCTAGTCAGTGCGTTAACAAGTCTTTTGGAGGAGCCCTGCAACGTTTCTGAAATGGAAACACTTACCATGGGGTAATAGGATTAAGTAAGCTGATATTTTACAGCAATCAAGGTGTTAACAGTTTTTGATTCTGTTCTTTTGTTTTTGTTTTTTTTTTTTTTTTTAGACCGAGGTGGTGGTGGGGAGAAAACAGTATTAGTGATATAAAATGCTATGTGTTAAAGGTGTCAAATAACAATTTGGTATTTTGTGGAAGGTTTTGTTTCTTTTTTGAGACTGGGGTTCTCAGTGTTGCCCTGGCTGTCCTGGGACTTGTCCTGTAAGCTGGCCTCAAACTCAAGAGATCTACCTGCCTCAGGGTGCTAGGATTAAAGGCATGCACCACCACTGAGTTATTTTTATCCAGACTTTGAGCCCACTCTTGAACAAAATAAACTTTCAGGGTTTTATGTTTAGGAGTTTCCCCATATATCCTTGGCTGGCCCGGAACTCAACTTTTGTAGACCAAGCTAGTCTTGGAACTCATTAAACTATGTTGTGGTGTGTAGTATTTGATAATCAGAAAGTTCTTATATGTCATTGCTGAAAATACTGCCTTCAATGGCTATCGAAATGTGAACTGAATAGAAGCTGAAGTTAAAAGATCAACAGACCAGTTAAAATAAAGAAGCAATCCTTTGAAGCATATAGAAAGAATTAAAAGCCGGGCGGTGGTGGCGGCACATGCCTTTAATCCCAGCAGGCGGATCTCTGAGTTCGAAACCAGCCTGGTCTACAAGAACTAGTTCCAGGACACGCTCCAAAACCACAGAGAAACCCTGTCTCGAAAAACCAAAAAAAAATTAAAAATAAATTTAAAATAGTAAAAGATATTGCACCATGCGTTTAGAAATAAGAATTGTTTTTTCACACTTGCAAGAAACAGAGGGCCACCTTAACATAACCAGGCTGTATATAGTTTTAAGAAGGATCCAATTGGTCAATTTGTGTTTGCTAGCAAAAGCAAGAAATCTACTTCCATAAAGGGACTTAAGAATGTTAATAGCATTTTGTGATAACCTCCAAAAGGGAAGAGGGGTGGTTAGGAATTGGTACATACCTTTAATAAAATAAAGAGCTAATGGATAGCTGTAAAGCCATACAACAGAATGCTTCCCAACAATAAATGAACCATATATGCCAAAAAAAAAAAACCCACATGAATGTTGTTGAAAACAGATATGCTGAGAAAAGCCAGACGAAAGTGCACGCTGTTAGATTTCATTTCCGTAAAACAGAAGTGCAAACTCATCTGGCAAGATTGGTCAGTGGTAGACTGAAGGCCTAACAGATGGAGGAATATATTGCCTGGGGGGCGGCTTTCAAGGATGCAATGCTGGGTGTTGTGGCACATGCTTTTAATCTTAGCATCCTGGAAGCAGAGGTAGGCATTGAAGCTCTGTCTACAAGAGCAAGATCCAGGGTAGCCAGGGCTACATAGACACACACACACACACACACACACACACACACGTGTTGCTGAATGGTGGACTTGAACATCTTTAAGATTTCGGTCTGGCAAGAACTCTAGTGGATAAAGACTTGCTGAGCAAACCTGGAAAACTGAGTTTCATCCCAGAAGCTCACATAAAAGTTGGAGAGACACCTCCTAGAGTTGTCCTTTGACATACACAAGTACATTGTGGCATGCATGTCAGATACACATAGACAATAATGATAAAATTTGATGGATGTGGTGATGTGCGCCTTAATCTTGGTGCTCAGGTACAGAGGCCCTGGATCTTTATGAGCTTGCAGTTTGCCTGATCTGCAAAGTGAGCCCCCCTCCCAATCGGTCTTGTATCCTTGGAATGCTCTTTTAAGAAGTAAATTTGGATTCACATATTTTTTTTTTCATTTTGTTTCATTTTTGAGGTGGTGTCTTGCCTGTATATTGCCAAGATTGTTATTGCCACCACTGTCTGAGGAAGTGCTGCTCACCTGTAATCCTATCAGGAGACTGGGACTTTAGGGTTTAGAGCTGGGCAGATAACTCGGAGTTGGCCAAGTGCTAGGGTTTGAACTTGATCTCTCTGCAGTGCAGAACCCATTTTTTGTTTTGATTCTGTTTTTGGGGGGGGTTGTTTAAGTTTGTACTTGAATAGTGGCATTTCACTTGTATTTTAATAAATAAAACTTGTCGGATGATCAGAAAAGTAATACAGCCACACTGGCCAGCCTTATACACAAGGCAGCAATAACACACCTTTAATCCCAGTAGACGCACTAGCTTGCCATAGGAACCAGGCAATTAATAATTCCAGAATTACAGAGGATTATAATACAGGAGGAGACAGCTCTCAGAAACAGTCTCATTCTGAGATTCGTGAAGGCAGGATTGCCATTTCATACTGAGGTCAAGGTAAGAGCCAGTGGCTGGCTGACTTGCTTTTCAGATTTTTTTTCCCCTGCATAGTTTTTCAAGACAGGGTTTTTCTGTAGTTTGGAGTCTCTTCTGGAACTAGCTCTTGTAGACCAGGTTGGCCTGGCTTGCTTTTTAGGTCTTAAGGTTGAACCCCAATTTCTCTCTCTGAGCTTTTATTAATCATGCTTCATGCTTTGGAGGCAGGGTCCTGTGAGAGGTGGGCTGATTCATGAGCCCTGTCTGAAGGGAGACAGACACTCCTAAATTGTCATCTGGCTACTGCATGCATGTACATACATTTAGTTTATTGGTAATAATTTTCCCTGGTAGCTCTTGTAATACCCTATTTTAAATATCTTTGCTAATCTCAGTCTGGAAGATGTTTTCCCATGATGGTTTTACATTTCATATTTAGATACAAAACTCACCTGAAAGTGATTTTTGTGTATGGATGGTTTGAGGGAATAGAAGAGACCCTTGAAGCAAAATGAGTCCATCTTTCCAAGCTTTAGTGCTGAGACAAACTGCCCCATAGAGTACTTCACGTGAAGGGAGCACATGAATAAGCTTTAAATTATTAGTTGTTTGGGGCTGTGCGCATGGATTTGGTGCTAGAGGGCAGAAGAGGTCATCAGATTCCCTGGAACCTGAGTATGTGTGAGCCACCTAATGTAAGTAGTAGCCCTGAACCCCCCCCCCCACTACTAATTTGGTAGCTTTTGTTGAATTTTATTTTATTTTAAATATTTATTTATTATGTATACAACATTCTGTCTGTGTGTATGTCTGCAGGCCAGAAGAGGGCACCAGACATTACAGATGGTTGTGAGCCACCATGTGGTTGCTGGGAATTGAACTCAGGACCTTTGGAAGGCAGTGCACTTAACCGCTGAGCCATCTCTCCAGCCTTTTGTTGAATTTTAAACAGTGACTAGGTAAACTGAACTTTGAAACCAGGTATTTTACTTAGGAAGTGATATAATCACTTGGATTTATAGACTAAAATCTCAGGCCACCTTGTTCAGGTAGTCTCTGGCAATAGAATCCCTGTAACCATCATTTCTACGAACCTTTCAGGTGACTGGATGTAGCTCTTCTTTTGGATCTGATTTCATTCTGTCTGCCTACTGGCACCGTTCTGTCTCCTTGTGTACATTTTTGTTTATTCACTATAGTTCAGGTATTTTTGTTTTGTGTTTTTTAGTTTTTTATTGTTTTTGAGACAGGGTTTCTCTGTTAACAGCAACAGCTCTGGCTGTCCTGGAACTCACTTTATAGACCAGGGTGGCCTTGAACTTAGAGTTCCTCCTGCCTCCCTCCCTAGGGCTGGGATTAAAGGCACACGC